TCAGAGCAGTGTTGTTGTATTGCACAGGGGCAGTTGTTTCAATGAAGAGGCAAGAACGGCGGTTGAACTGCGCGCAACAGGGATGGTTTCGACGCATGATGAGCATGCAATGGTAGGTCCGTGAAGCGAATGACTCCATTCTGTTCGAAGAACACATCACCTCAGTAGATACTGAGGTTAAAAAAAATGAAGTTAGCCTTGATAGACAACTGATTGAGAATAAACGGTTTACTAAAGCCCATACGCTTCCCTGGTAGGAGACAAAACAAGCTAGACGTAGGCCAGGAGACCAGCAAGCGATGCGTATGAACAAGGGAGAGGTAAATTTACTTTCAGAAGGAAACATATCTTCTTACGATTCAGCAACTAGTGCGCTATAAGAAAAACGTCGGTAAACTGCAAATACAGAGTACGTAGCAAACTACGGACGGTTCTGCTTATATAAACGGCTGTAGATTATTATCTCGGCAAACTCATATAGCCGGTTAAATATAATCAAGATTTATGGACCATACTTATGAAACATTCTTTGGCAGCAATAACATCGCAGATAGTCATTGCTGATGTGCGAAAGCTGTGAAGTTGGAATAAAGTGTGTAAATGTTTTGTGCGTTTGCTGCAGCTGAATTTGATAACGTCTATACATTTGTCCTTTTATTGCTGTGTTTGATTTTATTTATTAATTTTTTCATGTAAGTATTTTGAAGGAAGCTTCTTTGCCAAACCGCCGGGAATCACTTCGCAACAGCACAATATGCCGTTGCAGCCGAACTGTTGCTTAGAGGTACCCGTATCTGCGAACTGTGATCAAATGGCTGACTTATCCGGTGTTTTGGCGGGCATCATTCCATTTTCATCGAACGAAAGCAAAATCGCACAGATTCAGGTGCCACCAAAGCACTACAGTGCCGAATTCAAAATTTGTCACGTTGCGCTTATGAATGCCAATCACACCGATGAAATTATGAGTTCCGCCCTCTCACGAATGCATCTTGATCGAAAACGAGGAGGTCCAATATGCCAAAATGACCGTCGAATATCACATCTGGCAAGTGATGCTGCTACCGGCGTCACTCCGTTTCCTAGCGGTTATCAGTACGCAAGTAAAGAGGCGAGTACTGATATAAGAGAGAATCCTCATGTTGGAGAAATGACCTGCGTTTCTCATCAAGAGATTCCAGTGTGCCAAAGCGACTGTCAGATGGCCCATTTGGAGAGTGGTCCGGCTACCGGTGCCACCCAGGGTCTTAACAATTATCAGAATGCAGACGAGGAGACGGCTTTTGGCATAGGAGAGAATCCTCATATGAGAGGAATGCCTTGCGTTTTTCATCAAGAGATTCCAGTGTGCCAAAGCGACTGTCAGATGGCCCATTTGGAAAGTGGTCCGGCTACCGGTGCCACCCAGTGTCTTAACAATTATCAGAAGGCAGACGAGGAGACGGCTTTTGGCATAGGAGAGAATCCTCATATGAGAGGAATGCCTTGCGTTTTTCATC